GATTTGAACAATTGAGAATCTACACTACCCCAGGATGTTTCGACACATGTTTCAGCTTTTCTTGCCCAGTGGTTCTTGAGAAAATGATTTTCAAAAAAAAATTCATATATATTTCTATGTAAAACTTTGAATCCCAATTGTAGCCCCGCCCTACCCCCTGAGTCATGATTTGAACAAGTTAGAATCTACACTACCATAGGATGCTTCCACATAAGTTTCAGCTTTTGTGCCCCAGTAGTTCTTGAAATTATATATATATTTCTATGTAAAACTTTGATTCCCCATTGTGGCCCCGCCCTACCCCTGGGGGTCAAGATTTGAACAATTTAGAATCTACACTATATCAGGATGCTTCCACATAAAATTCAGCTTTTCTAGCCCAGTGGTTCTTGAGGAGAAGATTTTATAACAATTTTCCTATAAAACTTTGATTCCCCATTGTGGCCCCGCCCTACCCCCAGGGTTTATGATTTGAACAATTTAGAATCTACACTATCCCAGGATGTTTCCACATAAGTTTCACCTCTTCTGGCCCAGTGGTTCTTGAGATTTCTTAATGACCTCATCCTATATTTGTCTATTCTTGATTATCTCCCCTTTTCAGTGGACTTGGCCCTTCATTTTAACAATTTTAATTCCCTTTCACCCAAGGATGCTTTATACCAAGTTCGGTCAAAATTGGCCCATTGGGTCTTGAGAAGAAGCTGAAAACGTGAAAAGTTTACAGACTGACGGAAAGAGAAACAGACAGACAGACAAAATATGATCAGAAAAGCTCACTTGAGCCTTTGGCTCAGGTGAGATAAAAAGGGACTTTTTACATCTTATGTGAAACGGAACGTCAGTTTATGCATCCAAAGGACTACTCTTTACGCCCCATTTTGAGATTCGAATCCATCACCTTAAGATCAACTTTTTATTATGTACATGTAACTCTAAAGTAGAAACTCAAGCTCTGTGCAACACAGGCAATTAATGCTAAATACAAGCGCATACGGTACATAATGCTATATAAAATCAAAGAATTGTAGACAGAAAAAAATCAGTTATATGATCCAACATTTTTTTATTGTTAATTTCTGTCATCAAAGAGGCTTACTTTAGAAATCATATTTCATTAATACTATCATTCAACTTTCTCAACAATTTTATGTCTTAAATACACATATCATGAATATGTAAAAAGTTGCTACAATCTTGAATCATACTTCAAAAGAAATATATTTAAGGAGTGAAAATTCATTCCATCAAAAGTGAAAACCAACAGATAATATAATCATTATATCTACTAATGTTTTATCTTTATCCTAAAAATGAAACTTCCTTTAACTGACATTACAAATTCCTGTGGCAACTAATAGTATATATCTTGATGTTGAAGAAATCTACACATTCACCATTTAGATTTACAACATATTTCTAATATAAAATCATAACTTACATATTGAAACAATTTTATTTGCAAAATAGAGCCATACCGGTATATAATCATGATAATGAAAACCTTTACACATGCAAGCATTTATTTAGTTATATACATGTACATTGAAAGTTTTCTATTCTAAATATTTAATATTCTTAACTTTTCCTCCATACTCTGCAACAAACAAATCATTTTTATTCACACATAAACCAAGTGGATTCTCCAGATCATTGTTATCTATATAACGGAGGAACTGTCCGTCCTGGTCTAGGATGTGGATACAGTGGTTATGGTAGTCTGCTGTTAGGATCTGACTCTGGCTGTCTGTTGTGATGCCGTAAGGATTGAATGGTTTGTTCTTTGTGGTAGAGGGATGACCAGTGTATCTAAATCGGAGTTTTCCAGCCTGATTGACCACCACTACAGCACCAGCTTCACAGTCAGCCACACAGATATCCAGGTTTCTGTTCTCACCGATGTATTTAATGTAGTAATTTCCTGAATACAGAGCTTCACCCTCCTCATCAAACTGGATTTTTTGTTTCTCTGTGGAGCCTGAGTAACGCACAACTTTGGATTGTGTTTTATCATCACTGTACATGGTAACCAGGAGATCACCAGAGGAGGTGACACAGAGATTAACTGGTACCCATCCCTGTAGTCTGATCATCTCCTCTGTCTGTCCATTCTTTACTTTATTCACAGTTTTTTTTTCTCTTCCATCAGAGTACACCAGATCTCCATCACCTGTCACTGCAATATCACTTGGCCATCCGCCTGATTTTGTTTTAACTGTTTTGATAAGTGAACCTTGACCATTAAAGCATGTCATATCACTGACTTCTCCACTTGTCCAGATTTCTTCTTCATGGAGACAGACAACAGACCGATGGTTTTTATACCCATCATCTATAGTTGTGGCAAGTTCTGGTTCTTCCAGCAGTTCTCTATGTGACTTTTCTACTGCAAGTGACCCGAACAACTTGTAAAGCTGTTCTCTATCTAATGGATTTGGATTAAACATTGGCAATGATATCTGAACTGGAGGAAGGTTAACGAATTCTTTGTTTCTGGAGCTGTATTCTATGCTCATGGTCACTTCATTTGATTTTTCAATTTCCTTCAGATGTAGCGTTTGTTCAACAAGAGGCCCATGGGCCACATCGCTCACCTGAGAAGCTTTGACCATTCTGTTCTTTACCAGATTTCCCCCTTGTAATACATAAAGCATCCCCACCCTACCCCACTGATCATAATTTAGACATTTTGAAATCTACACTACCCCATGATCCTTCCATGGGCACATATGTTTCAGCTTTTTTGGCCCAGTGGTTCCTGAGAAGAAGATTTTCAAAGATTTTTCCTATATATTTCTATGTAAAACTTTGATTCCCTATAATGGCCCCGCCCTTCCCCCGGGGGTCATGATTCCTATAATTTAGAATTAACACTACCCCAGAATGCTTCCACATAAGCTTCACTTTTTCTGCCCCAATGGTTCTTGAGAAAAAGATTTTCAAAGATTTTTCCTATATATTTCTATATTAAACTTTGATTCCCCATTGTGGCCCCGCCCTTCCCCCGGGGGTCATGATGTGAACAATTTAGAATCTACATTATACCAGGATGCTTCCACATAAGTTTCAGCTTTTCTGGCCCAGTGGTTCATGAGAAGAAGATTTTCAAAGATTTTTCCTAAATAAATATAATAAAATCTATGATACCACAATGTGTCCCCGACCTTCCCCCGGGGGTCATGATGTGAACAATTTAGAATCTACATTATACCAGGATGCTTCCACATAAGTTTCAGCTTTTCTGGCCCAGTGGTTCTTGAGAAGAAGATTTTCAAAGATTTTTCCTATATATTTCTATGTAAAACTTTGATTCCCCATTGTGGCCCCGCCCTTCCCCCGGGGGTCATGATGTGAACAATTTAGAATCTACATTATACCAGGATGCTTCCACATAAGTTTCAGCTTTTCTGGCCCAGTGGTTCTTGAGAAGAAGATTTTCAAAGATTTTTCCTATATATTTCTATGTAAAACTTTGATTCCCCATTGTGGCCCCGCCCTTCCCCCGGGGGTCATGATGTGAACAATTTAGAATCTACATTATACCAGGATGCTTCCACATAAGTTTCAGCTTTTCTGGCCCAGTGGTTCTTGAGAAGAAGATTTTCAAAGATTTTTCCTATATATTTCTATATAAAACTTTGATTCCCCATTGTGGCCCCGCCCTTCCCCCGGGGGTCATGATGTGAACAATTTAGAATCTACATTATACCAGGATGCTTCCACATAAGTTTCAGCTTCTCTGGCCCAGTGGTTCTTGAGAAGAAGATTTTCAAAGATTTTTCCTATATATTTCTATATTAAACTTTGATTCCCCATTGTGGCCCCGCCCTTCCCCCGGGGGTCATTATTTGAACAATTTAAAATCTACACTATACCAGGATGCTTCCACATAAGTTTCAGCTTTTCTGGCCCAGTGGTTCTTGAGAAGAAGATTTTCAAAGATTTTTCCTATATATTTCTATATAAAACTTTGATTCCCCATTGTGACCCCGCCCTTCCCCCGGGGGTCATGATTTGAACAATTTAGAATCTACATTATACTAGGATGCTTCCACATAAGTTTCAGCTTTACTGGCCCAGTGGTTCTTGAGAAGAAGATTTTTTAATGACCCCACCCTATTTTTGTCTTTTCTTGATTATCTCCCCTTGCGAGGGGATATGTCCCTTCATTTTAACAATTTAAATTCCCCTTCACCCAAGGATGCTTTGTACCAAGTTTGGTCAAATTTGGCCCAGTGGTTCTTGAGAAGAAGTCGAAAATGTGAAAAGTTTACAGACGGACAGACAGACAGACGGACAGACGGACAGACGGACGGACGGACGGACGACGGACAAAATGTGATCAGAAAAGCTCAGCCTTCGGCTCAGGTGAGCTAATAAGAGACTGTATTTGTTTCACTTCTTCTGCACTAGTTTTATGGACAAATCGCTAAATCGTCTTTACTCATCCAAACAGCTGATTTCTACATCCCACAGAGAGATTGTAACCCATGACGTTATGATCAACTCCTTACTCTGCGACTCTTGACTAGACACTCTACCACTTTACAACGCAGTGAATAAGTGATAAATTTAAGCACATACCGGTGCATAATGCTACATAAAACCAAAGCATTTTAGAAGGAAATAACCAAGTAAATAATCGAACCTTTTTTTTAATTCCATATGGTTTTTATCTTTGATTCTATATTCATGAAGGGGGCTCAGTTCAGAAGTCAATTTTAAGAAATACTTTCATACAAGTTTCTCAACAATGATGTGTATTAAATATCATGAATATGAGGAAAGTTTTAACAGACATATGGACTTATAGAATTTTTTTTAAGATGTGATAATGAATTCCTTTAAAAGTGAAAACTGGCAGATTATAAAATATCCAATGGGTTATTTTATCGTTACATTGTCATTTCATTGACAAAATACAAATTGCTATGACAATGATAATATCTCTTGATGTTGATGTAGTCTACATTTTCTCCATCTATTCTTAAAACTTGAAAGATAAACAATATAAGATTTAATAAAAATAAAATTATAACTTAAATTAAAATACTTTTATTTACAAAATAGAGCCATAATAAAAGCATAATGACATACACAAGCTTATATTTAACTATATACAAATATGTCTATTTCAAATATTTAATTTTCTTAACTTTTCCTTTCCACTCAGCAACAAATATATTATTTTTATACACACATAAACCATATGGATCCTTCAGATCACAGTTTTCTATATAACGTAGGAACTGTCCATCCTGGTCTAGGATGTGGATACGGTGGTTATCACTGTCTGCTGTCAGGATCTGACTCTGGTTGTCTGTTGTGATGCCCACGGGTATAAATAGCTTGTTCTTTGTAGCAGAAGGATGTCCAGTGTATCTAAATCGGAGTTTTCCAGCTTCGTTGACCACAACTACAGCACTTGCTCCATAGTCAGCCACACAGATATCCAGGTTTCTGTTCTCATTGATGTATTTAACCCTATTATTTCCTGAATACAGAGGTTTACCCTCCTCATCAAACTGGATTGTTTGTTTCTCTATGGAGCCTACGTAACGGACAACTTTGGATTGGGTTTCATCATCACTGTACATGGTAACCAGGAGATCACCAGAGGAGGTGACGAAGAGTTGTGTAGGTGCCCAGTCCTGCAGTCTGATCATCTCCTCTGTCTGTCCATTCTTCACTTTATTCAAAGTCCTTGTTTTACTGTTAGAGTACACTAGATCCCCATCACCTGTCAATGCTAGATCACTCGGCACTCCTCCTGACTTTGTTTTGATTGTCTTGATAAGTGAGCCTTGAATGTTAAAGCATTTCATATCACTGACTCTATATCCACTTGTCCAGATTTCTTCTTCACTGAGGCAGGTGACACTGCGAAGGTTTTCATACCCAGTATCTATAGTAGTGATAAGTTCTGGCTCTTCCAGCATATCTCTGCTTGATGTTTCTGGTTTCATTCTTTTGTGACCATTTTCTTCTGTTGTGGTGGATAAAGGTGCAAGAGATCCAAACAACTTATAAATCTGTTCTCTATATACTGATTTTGGATTAAACATTGGCAGTGATACCTGAACTTTGGGAGGAAGTTTACTGAATTCTTTGTTTCTGGAGCTGTATTCTATGGCCATTGACACTTCATTTGATTCTTCAATTTCCTTCAGGTTGAGCAGAGTTTGTTCAATAAGAGACTGTATTTGTTTTATTTCTTCTGCATGTTTCTTGAGAATGTCAAAGTGTTTTTCTTTTAAACCATAAATTTCTTTTTTCATATCATTGATGACATTGTCAAGTTCTCTGTGCCATTGTTTTCCATGCTCTGTCACTGCTGTTGTAAGTTTCTCATATTCTCCATCCAAGTTAGCTATCTGTGTTTCTAGATCATTTGTGATTTCTTCATATGTTGGAGAAATAATGTTTTGTAATTCTTCTTTATCTTTTGCGATATCATTTTTCTTTGAGTTGTATAGTTCAGCGAGAACTAAGAAATTGTGTTTTTTATGCTGTTGTGAAACAGCGCATATGGAACAAACCGATATGTCGCATTCCTTGCATTTTACTTCACAAGTTTTGGTTGGATGCGTTGCACATTTTGGATAAATAAAAGTTGATTTCTTATGTTGGAATTGGAAAATTTTATGTTTATCATATTCATCAGCGATGTGTTCTCCAATACAGGGTTTACAAAGGTTGACATGACAGAAATCACAGTACATCTGTACTATAGCTGTCTCACAAAGGTCACATCTGATCACATCCTGGGCACAAAGATGTGGATCCATGGCGACTCAAGTCAAGTTCTAGAAATAAAAAGAATATGTAAAATTATTTCTTTCGGTCTAAAGCTTACTGTTAACTTGCTCATAAAATAAAATATTTCTTTAACAAAAACCTTCGATGACCTTGTCAGCTTCGTCGAGAAAATTAATATGCAAACCGAAAGTAAATTTGCGTAAAGATATTCTAATTTCCATCAAATGAAACTTACCTCACTTGCTAACAACCAGATGACAGATGTGGGGAGACAGTTGTATGTTCTCTTGTTTTTCGATTCGTTTAATTCATAGTTTGTAACATGTCACGCTTCGTGCAAACCGCCATAATGACATAGTTTGCACTTTTGTCAATTTTTTTTGTCAATTTTCTGAAAATAGAGTTATCTTTCTTGCAACTTTAACATGCTTGTAGGCGTGGATCCAGGAATCTTTTCCAAGGGTGGAGGTCCATCCAAAAAAAACCCCAAAAATTTCTGTCCAGGTAAAAAAGTAAGCTTTCAAAAATTTGAAAAACCTTTATCGTAGAATGGGCGAGGGAACACTGTGGTGAGGTAATAGGGGCGCTTTAGTTTTATTTGTACGATTTTTTTCTCAATTTACCAGATGTCCGTGTTTTTAGTTAGGGGGCTGGGGTTCCAAGGTATTTTAGTCAAGAAGGGTCCCCCTCCTTATCTCACTGTCAAATTCTCTTGTTACAAGTGTTTTAATTAGACCCCATAACTTCAATATATATTAATGTACCATTTTACATATATTTCAGAACCTCACCATCTAATAATAATTTCAATTCATATGATATTATATCATTCCATCTAGCTTATAATTTAGGTATGCAACTTCTAATTAAAATTTTATGGGTTCAGAGTGCATTTGTTCTCAATGAATATATAGTTCAATTTATATTATTAAAATCACATTTTTAATATATTGGACATAAATAAACAGAAAAAAAGTTTTAAAATGTATTTTTTTTATTGATTAAAGAATTAACATTATATAAAGCGTATTCGAATTCATAATATTTTTATCATTGAAGTTCAAAAAAATGAAGATACAAAGATATAGTTATTGCTCTTACCACAACGTATATAAAGATTAATTAATTGAATAAAAAAACCTCTTAATTTTTTTTATAAGCAATGTCTTTCAATTCATTGTAATTGTGCTACTGTAGATTATTGACAATGGAAAGTGAAAATTAAAATCTTTACTAATCATACATTTGTCAGTTCATACTTACATGTAGATGAGTAACGTAAGGGGAGATAAATAAAAACATATTGTAATGCCCTTTCGAAACACTTTGCGCTTAGATCATAATCAAAGAAATTACATGAATCAACTTGAAGATAATTCAACTAAACTTCACTTGCTCACACATGTACGTATTACCGAGAGCTATACAAATGCGTGAACATTTTTAACTTTTCCTTTAACATTGATCTTACGTTTTTTTTTTAATTTGTTTTAGCAAAAAAGCTTTATAAGATATTTTTTTCTAACTTCATAATTATATGAATTCATTTTGATGGAACAACTAGGCTTCGTCAATATTCATTGACTTTGATCTTTCCTTTGACCTTCACTCAACTTTTCACACAATTCTCTTTTACTAGGTTTCAAAATGCTATTCGTAATACTCTGATCAAATTTTAAAAGCGGATACATTTTGATGAGAGCTAATCAATTTCATGATCATCTTTTAATCTTGATTTTTTCTTTGAACTTGTCTTTTACTTTCTAAAATAATTATTATTTAAATTTTATTAACAGCGATACCAACAGTTTTAAACTTGATTAATCCTTCATATGTGTTTAAATAATTTTCAAACTGTATTTTTCAGGTAAAACCTTTGAAGCAGGTTAAAGTACAAGTTTCAATAAGCCCTTAAGCCCTCACTGGACCAAACATGCATAGATAATGCAATTCTACAGATGGACACAAATGTATATTTTGTGCGCACCAAAAAGTATGATATTTTTTTATTTATTTCTCCATGTTTTTAAAAACTGTCCCTCAAAATATTAATAACCATGTGTTCCTAACATATTCATTCACTGTTTCCACAACAAAACATTCCTTAGAATTATTGTTAGTATAGCCCTACTTGGCTAAATTGAAATCATCGAAAATGTCATGTATTTATTCTGTCATTTTGGTTTGCAACATAATTTGGTCAAACACGCTTCATGCAGCTAGATGTCAACTACGAGATTACCTGATAAAGGAGTAAGGAATATTTTGAAATCTAGCTTATATGTAATTGAGGTAAAAATTTGGATAAATTAATCCAACACCAAGCGTAACGTTTTATGCGCAATAAATATACTGCAATGGGTGGCACTGCAGCTCTCTGGTCTGTCAATATATCTTTTCGGAGAGCTACAGTTCTGCAGATAACCCACCCTGTATCAAGATTTGAAGAATTCTAAATCCTCAGCTATGTTAAGGAAGGTCAGAGTTCACATTCTTTGTACATCGTATTGGAATTTTAATTGTGACGTCATTGAAATTTAACAAGCCACAAAAATTAATTAACAACATGATTATGCGTTAATATCAGCTTGAATTTATTTATGTTATCGATTATTTATAAAATCTTGTTAAATTACAATACTTGATAGCAATACAGTCGAGTAATAGAAGAAAGTCTTTCGTCAAATATGACGTCATCAGCCTTGACATGACGCAGCACAGGTGATCCAGAGGGCTAGATTTACTTGTTTAATAATTACAAGAATGCTTAAATAAATATGATCCCATTGCTAATTTTTAAATCTAATCATTAAAACTGAAAGAAAGTAATTTATTAAATACAATGTGTAGAGAATATGAATTAATCTAGTTGCATTGAAGCTGCACAGGGATAATGAATGTAGAGAATATCGCTAAAACGATGAGCGTATTCGTGAGATACATCAAAAGTGCAAGGGCATAGAGTATTTTGTTTGTGCTGAAATTTAGAATATTTATTGTTTATATAGTGTATATTTTGAAAAGTGCTGGGAGCTGATCCTGATCTGCATAACATTAATTCTATTTGTAACAGAATATAAGCGAAGTGGAAATTTTTAGCTATTATGAGCAATTTTGGCAAAATTCTAAGTACTTCGCAAACAACACTGACTAGCTCCCAGCACTTTTTGGGTACAGGAAATGAACCTCTTTTAATGTGTATCAATTTTTTTCTTGAAAAACAAGCGTATGCCCTTGCACTATCCCCATTTCCTACATACAGCTTAACAATTCTATTTTTATACAAGTCACGTGACAAACAGCTGATACGTGCGATATAACTGGTAATAATTACGACCCAGTCCTATTCATTATTGATAGCTATATTACATTTTCTAAAAGTATTCGGTCGTTTTGTTACAAATTTTTAAAAGAATTAAAACATATTAAAACAGTGCAAAGGCAACATTTTCCATATCGGTCTCTTACATAGCTGAGTCTAATATACCTGAGGATTCCTCCAGATAAATATGACAAAAGGCGTCGGAACCGGGGGGGGGGCTATACTTATAAATACAAATTTATATTTAGCATAGACATTGAACATTGCTTCGTAGGTTTAGCAACCCCCCCCCCCCCACACACACACACACTTTCCAAAGACACGTCGCAGTATAGTTCAAAATGGGGAAAGTGGTGGTGTTTGGAAAAGCATTTCGGTTCTGAAGTTTTGTATTTGGGAAATAGATATTTCCCTTCCCCAATTTTTTTGAAGGTATAATTTTTTTGTTTACACTTAGCCCCCCCTCCCCCCCCCCCACCTTGAATTTGCCTCCGACGCCATAGCAAAACATGGCTTTGAAGTTCTTGATGAGAATTTTTTTTAACAATTTTTCTGAAACATTGATGTCCCATTGTTAGCCCAGCCTATGTTCTCCCACAGTCATTACTTGGATATAAAAGCTTAAAATTTGTATAAAAAAGGGGGAATCTTTTCCTTGCCAACATCTACTGTGACACAGGACCTTGGTTTACTCATGCAAAGGACTTCTCTACCTCCCACAATGAGATAGGAACCCGTGACGTTATGATAAACTCCTTACTCTGCGACTCTAAAAAAAGACACAAAATCAGCCAAATGATCTATTCTTTTTTATGTTTTCATTTTTATTTTGAAATTTATGAAAGAGGATTAGTTTAGAAATGATATTCAAGTAATCCTTTCATTTAAGTTTCTCGACAATTTAATGTCTTAAAGATCGTGTAAACATGCTAGTAAAAAAGTGCAAGAAACATATGAACATATAAAGAAATATTTTTAAGGGTTCGCAATTAATTACCTTATTGTGAAAGCCATCATAAAATAATTCTATCCAATGTTGTATCTTTATCATAACAATGAAGCATCTTTCATCAACATTGCATACTACTGTCACTATTGGCAACCAATATTATATATGCTGATGATTTTGATGTAATCTACCTTTTTTCCCATCTATTCTGATAACTTGAAAGATAAACAACATATTTTATGAATTATAAAATCAGACAATTTAATTTACAAAATAGAGTCATAATCACTATACTCATCCATATTTATTAGTTATATGCAAAAATGTTTACTCCATATATTTAATTTTCTTAACGTTTCCTTCCAACTCAGCAACAAAAAAATTATTAATATACACACATATACCAAATGGATGCTTCAGATCACAGTTATCTATATACCGGAGGAACTGTCCGTCCTGGTCTAGGATGTGGATACAGTGGTTATCACTGTCTGCTGTCAGGATCTGATTCTGGCTGTCTGTTGTAATACCACAGGGTTTAAATGGTTCGTTCTTTATTGCAAAGGGATGACCAGTGTATCTAAATCGGAGTTTTCCAGTTTGGTTGACCACTACTACAGCACCAGCTCCAAAATCAGCCACACAGATATTCAGATTTCTGTTCTCACTTATGTACTTAATTTTTTTATTTTCGGAATACAGAGGTTTACCCTCCTCATCAAACTGGATTGTTTGTTTCTCTGTGGAGCCTGAGTAACGAACAACTTTGGATTGTGTTTGGTCATCACTGTACATTGTAACCAGGAGATCACCAGAGGAGGTGACACAGAGATTGAGCGGTCTCCAGCCCTGTAATTTGATCATCTCTTCTGTCTGTTCTGTATTTACTTTATTTAAAGTTTTTGTTTTCCCATCTGGGTACAGTACATCACCATCACATGTCACTGCTATATCATTTGGTGCTCCCCCTGATTTTTTTGTTATTGTGTTGATTAGAGAGCCATGAATGTTAAAGCATTTCATATCACTGACAATTCCACTTGTCCAGATTTCTTCTTCACTGAGGCAGGTAACATTGCGGAGTATTTCATACCCAGTATCTATAGTAGTGATAAGTTCTGGTTTGAGCAGCAGTTCTCTGCTTGTTGTTTCTGGTTTCTTCAGTTTGTAGCCATTTTCTTCTGTTGTCGTAGATAAAGGTGCAAGAGATCCAAACAACTCATAGAGCTGCTCTCTATCAACTGGTCTTTGATCAAACATTGGCATTGATATCTTAAGTTTGGGAAGAAGTTTACTGAATTGTTTGTTTCTGGAGCTATATTCTGTGGTCATGGACACTATATTTGATTCTTCAATTTTCTTCAGGTTGCGCAGACTTTGTTCAATAAGGGACTGTATTTGTTTCACTTCTTCTGCATGTTTCTTGAGAATGTAAAAATGTTTTCCTTTTGATTCAATAATTTCTTTTTTCATGGCATTGATGACATTGTCAATTTCTTTGTGCCATTGTTTTCCATGTTCTGTCACTGCTGTTGTAAGTTTTTCATATTTTCCATCCAAATTTGCTATCTGTGTTTCGAGATCGTTTGTCATTTCTTTGTATGTTGGAGAAATAATTTTTTGCAATTCCTCTGTATCTTTTGCGATATCATCTTTTTTTGAGTTGTATATTTCTGAGAGTTCTAAAAAACTGTGCCCTTTATGTTGACTTGACGTAAAACATGAAGGGCAGACATAAATGTCACATTCCTTGCATTGTAAATCACAAGTTTTTAATGGATGTGTTGTACACGTTGGAAAAATCAAGGTTGATTTCTTTTTTTGGAACGGGACTATTTTATGGTTTTCATATTCATCAGCAATGTGTTCTCCAATACATGGTTTACAGAGATTGACGTGACAGAAATCACAGTACATCTGTACTATATCTGTCTCACAAAGTTCACATCTGATCACATCCTGTGCACTGAGGCGGGGATCCATAGTTTCTGCAGAAGGTCTATAAATCAAAAATTGTTTTAATATTTGAATTAGTACAGCCTTTAATTAAATAAATAATGATTTGGGCTGGTAAATGAAAACTCGTATTCATTCCTTTAGTTACATCTTTTAAATATAATTTTTAAGCTTTATATGCTACAGTAACTGTAAAATCACATATTTTCTTTGGATTTAATTTTCGAGGTTTAAGGGAAAAAAATTGGTTTGTGGGGATTTAAATTGGTGGTTGGAAGATATTAATCAGTAATGCATATGAAATTTGTGGTGGTTGTCATAAATTCGTAGGTTTCTCCATACCTTGAAAACAACAAAAATTAATCCCCACGAAAACTAATGATGATGTTGCTTAAAAGTTACAAGAATTAAATGTAAAAATCTCTTTTCAAAAACTGATTTTAATTTCATAACTACGGAATGTATTCATTTGATTTTTTAAATATTCAATGGCAAATGACAATTTTAAAACTCAAATTGAAAGTAAACACAGATGGTGATGTATTATGATGAGAAGTCTCTGACAGGCTGCAACTCACATAGTATTGCCACTGTCTGCGTTGTCTCGTTACTTATTTCCACTGGTATTACATTATCATCCTGACAGTTGTAGTAATGCAGGGTACGAGTCTGATGTCTGAAAACGCTCCAGCAACCTATCAACGATTACAAGAACAATGTTTAGGCGACCTCCACGTGCAAATTTGTTTTATATATTTAGATGATGTCATTGTTTTTTCTAGATCTATTGAGGAACACCTTCACCGCCTCAAAGAAGTTTTTGAAAGGTTCCGGAAATTTGGGTTGAAGCTATCCCCAAAGAAATGTTCTTTCTTTATGAAAAGGGTGAAGTACATAGGACACATTGTGTCAGAGACTGGGGTACAGGCAGACCCTGACAAGGTTATTAAAGTCAAAAACTGGCCTATACCGAAAAATCCAGAAGACGTAGGACAATTTTTAGGTTTTGCTGGATATTACAGAAAATTTATCCAGAATTTCTCCAAGATTGCTCGACCTTTGATTGACATCATGGCTACAGGAAAGAAACCAAGAGGGAAAAAGAAACTGGCTCCACCAACATGGAAATGGGGACCATCTCAGGAATCAGCATTTAATGCACTTAAGGAAAAGCTAACATCAGCCCCTGTACTTGGTTATCCCGATTTCAACAGTCCCTTTGAATTGCATACTGATGCATGTCAAAGTGGCCTTGGAGCGGTCCTGTATCAAGAACAAGATGGAGCCAAAAGGGTCATAGCATATGCCAGTAGGGGACTTAGCAAATCAGAGAGGAACTACCCAACCCATAAACTGGAATTTCTCGCATTGAAATGGGCTATTACAGAGAAGTTTTCTGATTACCTCACAGGACAAACTTTTTCTGTCTTCACCGATAACAACCCCTTGACATATGTTTTAACAACGGCCAAATTAGATGCAACAGGCCATAGATGGATAGCTGCTTTATCTTCATACAATTTCAGCATAACTTACAAACCTGGAAAATCCAATACTGATGCAGATATTTTATCAAGATTACCCGAAAGAACAGAAACCATGGATAAAGAAGCTATTAGTGCCATCATTAATACAGAACATCAGCAGCCATATATTGAGACCCTTCCTGTTTCTTTACCTCATACTGTATGCCAGTTATTACAACAGTCACAAGACAAAGGCAGCCATATTGACATCAAAGACATACAGAGGAATGATGACGCCATTTCAACGATGATTGAGTACATCAGAGCAGGCAGAAAACCTCCCAAGAATGCAGCGAAGAATGAAATGGAAGCTATTCTTCATCGAAATTTCAAGAGGTTGAAGTTGAAAGATGATTTACTTGTGAGAGAAACCAAAATTGATGGTATTATTCATCACCAGTTCATCATCCAAAATTCATTCAGTCATTTTGTATTGCTGTATCTGCATTATGACATGTGTCATCCCAGAAGAGAAAAGACCATAGATTTGATAAAAGAGAGATTTTATTGGATAAAGATGTATATTGACGTCCCTAATTGGATAACGCAGTGTGACAGATGTATAAAGTCGAAGACTCCTGACAACCAGAGAGTTGAGTTGGTCAACATCACAACAACTCAACCTTTAGAATTGGTTTGTATGAATTATTTAAACTTGGAACCATTAAAAGGTAATATTCAAAATATCTTGGTGATTACTAACCAATTTATCTACAAAATGCATGCCAGAAGGCCGAAACACCAACTAAGAATTCCCAGCTAAAACAAATATGGCATTATAACACCAAGGTCAGAGGATTTATTTTGAAAGAAAGAGACCGATTATTAGATAAGATTGTGAGCTTCAATAAGAGGCATAAAATTCAGGACAAGTGAGAAGACATGTCATGCCATATATCATCATTAGTCAGCCGAATTCATCAATACCAGTTTACAAAGTAAAAAGAGAAGATAACCAAGGTAAGTTAAGAATTCTTCACAGGAATCTCTTATTACCATTTGGAACAGCCAATCCACCCATTCAAGCTCTTAGGGTAAGAAGAAGGTTTAACGGAGAAGAATGCAAGAGATGTCAAGAGCCTGCCACCCTCCATCAGGTGGAACCTGATGATGTTGAAAATGATCTGTATCTTACTGTGGAATAACCTGTAGAGTCTAAGACATCTCGAAGGAGGCGGTAGATTTAAACGTTGTAACTAGTGAGAGCAGGTAAGTATAGGTACTGAGTCCATTGATGAGCCAGGAGAAGCTGTTAGTGTAGCTTCTGATGAGCCATATGTTAGTGGAATGGTAGATAATATTGATGAAGACAATCATGATGATGAAGAAAACCTTGATGATGATGATGATGGAAGTAATCCACAAGATGATAACAAACAAGATGCTCATGATTGCCATGTTGATGATGTTCATGAGAACGATGCTGATGATATACCCATGCTGATGTGGATGACAGTCCTGATGATGATCAGACAGATGAGTTACCGAGGAGATCAGGGCGAGTTAGGAAGAAGCCAGCATGGATGAAGAGTTATGTATGTTGTCACCAGATACCGCGACATCCTGAGTGAAAGGATAGACAGAATATGACATCACGGCTAAGAGAAATAGACAAAGATATGTCAAATCGTTTTTAAAGATGATTTCTGAAAAGTTAAATTTTAATTGTATAAATTTTGTTTTAATTTCAGGTTTTCCTGATTATGTCGACAACCAGAGTACCAGATAAATAGTAAGTCTCCATTTGAATGACGTGGAAGTCATTTAAAAAGGAGGGGAAGTATGTTGCAGTGTTAGATTTATTAATTTATTTAATAAATCTATAATATATGTAATGTTTTAAATTTTTTTTTTTACATAAATGTATTGCTAAAGAATATTTAAAGGTCACCCTGTACTTAATTATTATTGCATTGGGTTATGATGGTTCTAGTCTTTGGTCTTTAGTTGGAAGTAAACACTGCTTTCATTGGTCTGGGCTTTGTAGGGTTGTGTTTAATTGGTTTACTTATTTTTCCCTCCAAAAGTTGTTGTGTGTTATGGTCATTCTTTGTCCAGTGTTTGAATAGAGAGGGCTACATTTACATTGTTAATTCAGACTTTTGACATTTGACTAAGACTATATTTCTCTCTATTAAGTATTATAATCTGGGCCTAAGTTGTGAGACATGTTGATTTTGACACTCGTGAATTCCCTAAATCACGTCATTCATTTTATAATTGAGTAATTCTGAACACTGATTTTGGTGCATAGTAATTAAATTTCTCATTGACCACTTTTCGTAAATTTCGGTCATGCGGTCAATTTTTTTTTTTCGAATATCATGATACCCTGCGTTTCTTTTTCCTTTCAGTATATTTTGTATATAACTAAGAAACCGTTACATTTACAAGAATTAAGTTCTATATATGATAAGATATTCTAGATTGTAGGAAACCTACCTTACAGTACGGATAAAATGACATCTAAATTATTCGTCAATACTTTTTTCTGTTTTGTAAAGCTGAATCACGAGACTTTCCAGATAAGGTGGAGTTTGTTCCGATCTAAAAAAAAGAGTTATCTTCCGTGTATTGTTAGTGTACTAGCTTACAGCTTTGATTTATATGCCCCACTGCTTGTTAAAAGTTTTTTTTTTTATCTGAAACAGAGTGTCTGTGGTTAGAACAGCTGACAATCATTATTTATATCAATAATACTAGTGACGAAATTTATTTATGGAGTGCCTAATTGATACATCTTCATGACCAAATATTTGCAAACATACTTCATAAAAACAGAAAACAACTATTGATTTAAAATAAACATGTAAGTAATCAAATTAAAAATTGGATCAAAAGAGGTACATGTATTTTTTATAAATGGTATAGGCTTGATATTTAGATTGTTTTATTTCAATTATAAGGGTTAAATTTGAAATTTAACTAAATAAAGATATACTCTTTCTCTAGCCTTGTCTTAATTAAAACATCTATCTATTATAGTTCTTATTTTGTCAAACTATTATAGTTCATATTTTGTCAAAAGAAAGAAATTTATTTTCTTTAAATCCCGACAGAGTTAGGCAAAATTAAAATCCTTATTCATACAATTAAATATTTATATGATTTATTTCTTGTTTGTAACAGTTACACGTCATATATAATTTTATCAAAAAATTATTTTTTGCCTTTTTATTTTTAGATCATTATGACTTACGTCAAAACGTATCTATCTGCTTGAGTTGACTCTTTTTTCTTAAAGACAGTTTTGAAGGAAAACGTCTGAATTATTACACTTATAGATTATAAGGAATGAATTCAACGTCTACCCAAATTATCCAAACTGACATATTATGGTTTAGAACAGCTTTTGTTTTTGTTTATTTATAAGCTTCACAATTTATAATGCTTCAACTATCCATATCCATATAGCTTTGAAATTTCAATGTTCTTTTTTTTTTTGGAGAGAGTGAGAGAGAGAGAGAGATTTATTTTATTTTTTTGACAATCTAATTATTATTGTTTTAAAACAAATTTTTCTCAGGACTCGAACTATGTAATCTTTACTGAATCAAAACATCGGCAATTGCAAATAATTTGTAGTTTGGTATTTCTAATGACCAAAAAAATTATAATACATTTAGCGTCATATTTTTAAATATAATGTACCAAAATTGAATTTTTTTTAATAATTTTTCACTGAATTTATCTTATACTTGTTTAAAACATCCCAGAAGGCATTTCAACGTTGATTTGGGGAGTGGATCTTAAGTAATGTAACTTGACCGGGGTTAATTGTCTGTGTGAAAATTCTTATGCGTTTATTTGATCTTTTTTTATATTTTGTAAAAAGAAAGATTATAGAATTAATGCACACAACAAAAGCACAATCTAAATAAAGTCACAATCTAAATAAGAATAAGACTTCTTAGATTCGTTCTGTATACGTAGTATCTGAGCAAGAATATACGGCACGGAATCCATATGAGTAATTTTAAGAACATTAATTCGGAATAATTATTTTTATTATTTCCATAGTAACATGGAGTTACATTGAGATGTTGGATAAAAATGTTATTTATTAAAAGCTTATATTTAACATATCTTAAAAATATGTTTAAAAAATAGCATTCACAAGTCATTTAAAAAAAATAACCTTTTTTAAAACAGTATTATAACTAGATACGATCTCGTTGCGAGCAACGAGAGGTCTTCCGTCCGATAACGGAAAAACGTTAAATTGAGCTGAAAAATTAAAAAAAAAAATATTGCACACAACGAGGATTGAATCCAGGTCGCCAGCGTGAAAATCCAACGCGCTAAATATTACTCTATTTGGACCTCTGCTTTAATCTTCTTGTAAATACCTCTGTTTAACAGTGCTTTTGTCTTAGAATTATGAAAGGCTATTCACGATTCTTAATTTTGCGCCAAACGCCACGAGTTAATCTTCGCGCATTTTCATTTGAATGTTTTATTTAATAGGTGTGATGGCTTCAATGAAAAAAAAAACGTTCATATATTCTAAAATTCGACGATTAGAAAGTACATTTAACACATTTTACAAATTTCATATAGTATGTAAGCAAGTAATACTATAGCAGTGAAACGGCTATGAATTTTAACTTTTTTAAATTTCCTGTTTATCACCAAAGTGAACTATCTCGATTAGTTAAACATTCATGAAGAGGTTTAATGTTTCGCCGAAAAACATGGCTCAGCTTACGACGGTCAAGGAATTGGATACCATTTGTGCTCAATAACTTGAATAAGATCTTTGAGACAATTTAATGTTAATATAAACTCAATTAAGCGATCTTTAAAAAATTGTTATCTTATTTTGTTTTTTCTATTGGTTTGATATGGCACAAGTGTGCATGGGAAAAAGTGGTTAAGTTTTATACTTACTTTATTCATTAATATTTTCTTTTGAAAAACTGAAACATAACAATGATTTAAGATCTGTTTTTCCGAGGTGCAAATCAGAAGATATTAGGTATCGAATTTCATTTGCACATATAGTCTTTTCTTTTTCTACTTTGAGAACCAGCCAAAACCAATTATAGAAGACGTTTAAGATGAACTTAGTTTGACATGGAATTGTAACGTTACTACGACGTGACAATCCAAGTATTCCTTTACATTTCATTTGTCCTTATATTACTTTCCTTCAATCAAACGCTCGGCTGCCTCCGTAAACCCCTATTGCGAAATGTCGGAGTTGACAGAGAGAGCGGCCATTTTGGACCCGCTTCAGATTTTCAAATCCTAATATCTAGAGTTTAGATTTATCAATATTCAAACAAATTATATAGTAAGCATTATAAGAATAATTTCTATTAACATACCAAAAATAAATGAAAAATATTAAAAAACAAAAAAAGTTGAAAAATTGGACATTTTAAATTGGCTTCCTGTAGCAACCGGAAGTAATGACGACGAACGAAAAGTCACGTCCTGGATAGTATTTACCATCATCTATAATCTCTGAAAGTTTCACATTGATATCTTTCACCGTTCTTGAGATTATCCGTAGACAAAATGTCATTTTAAAATCAGGAAAATGATCCGAAACTTGGCACCAGAGATGAATTTCCAAAAACTCTTTTGGAACTTTCAAGACAATCTTACAACACATCTTTTCTGAAAATTTCATGTAAATCTATCCAGTAGTTTTCGAGAAATCGTGTCAGAAAAATAATAATAATAATAATAACTAGATGAGATCTCGTTGCGAGCAACGAGTGGGTCTTCCGTCCAATTCTTGATGAGATGAGATAAGATTTTGATTGCGATTTTCATTCTAAAATAATGATTTACCACAATCTGTAAAAAGACATTGAACATTAAAGACTTTAAAAAATCGTCCTTTTGCCCCTAACGGCCCCTTATTTTAGGAATCGGCCCTCTTTATTCATATCATCTTAACGATCGTAAGATGTTGAACATTTTTTGTTCAACAACTGTTCAGAAATTCTTATTCGTTTTTGAGCTAACAGCAAAAGATATAATCAGGGGCCAACCCTTCAACTGCTTAATGGGGACGTTTAGCAAAAAATGAAAGGTTGCATACGGTTCAGAACATTATTTTGAACAACTTTTGATCAATATTGCTTATCAAAATATTTCTCCCTTTCGAGATATAAAGCATAAAAGATTTAGCATTCTGACCCCTTGTGGCCCCTAATTATGTACCATACGACATAAAAACCATAATATATAGTTGTAGATAGTAGAGATATAGATCTTTGCTTCAGTAATGTATTACAAAATATTAACTGATAAAGAGCTATCGATTGAAGACTTTTGGCCCCTCTTGGCCCCTAATTCGAGTGCCCATTCCCTTTTTCGGGGTCTCATCTGAAAGATCTTAAGATTTTGAACATTTTTTGTTCAACAACTGTTCAGAAATTCTTTTTCGTTTTTGAGCTATAAGCAAAAGATATAATTAGGGGCCAATCCTTCAACTCCTTAACGGGGACGTTTAGCAAAAAATGAAAGATCGCATATTGTTTAGAATATGATTTTGAACAACTTTTGTTTAATATTGCTTATCAAAATATTTCCCCCCTTCGAGATATAAAGCATCAAAGATTTAGCATTCTGGCCCCTTGTGGCCCTTAATTATGTACCATACGACATAAAGACCATAATATATAGTTGTAAACGGTAGAAATAAAGATCTTTGCTTCAGTAATGTATTACAAAATATTAACTGATAACGAGCTATCGATTGAAGAATTTTGTCCCCTCTTGGCCCCTAAATCGAGTGCTCAGCCCCTTTTTCGGAGTTTCATCTTAAAGATCTTACGATTTTGAACAGTTTTTGTTCAACAACTGTTCAGAAATTCTTATTCGTTTTTGAGCTAAAAGCAAAAGATATAATTAGGGGCCAACCCTTCAACTCCTTAACGGGGACGTTTAGCAAAAAATGAAAGGTTGCATACTGTTCAGAACATTATTTTAAACAACTTTTGTTCAATATTGCTTATCAAAATATTTCTCACTTTCGAGATATAAAGCATCAAAGATTTAGCATTCTGGCCCCTTGTGGCCCCTAATTATGTACCATACGACATAAAAACCATAATATATCGTTGTAGATGGTTGAGATAAAGATCTTTGCTTCAGTAATGTATTACAAAATATTAACTGATAAAGAGTTATCGATTGAAGACTTTTGGCCCCTCTTGGCCCCTAATTCGAGTGCACAACCCCTTTTTCGGGGTTTCATCTTAAAGATCTTAAGATTTTGAACATTTTTTGTTCAACAACTGTTCAGAAATTCTTATTCGTTTTTGAGCTAAAAGCAAAAGAAATAATTAGGGGCCAACCCTTCAACTCCTTAACGGGGACGTTTAGCAAAAAATAAAAGGTTGCATATAGTTTAGAACATGATTTTGAACAACTTTTGTTCAATATTGCTTATCAAATTATCTCTCCCTTTCGAGATATAAAGCGTCAAAGATTTAGCATTCTGGCCCCTTGTGGCCCCTAATTATGTACCATACGACATAAAAACCATAATATATAGTTGTAA